AGAGCCGCGGAGCGCCAGCCGCGCCGCTCGTCCGGCTCCCGAGGCCTAGCCTGGCAAGAACTGGGCTGCGCAGGGCGAAGCCGGTGTGCTGCTCTGCTCTCGGCTGCGGGGCAGCTCGATCTAGGGAACGTAACGGCGCTGCATCTGATTCGGCTCAGCTGCTCAAGATCAGCCCAAACCAACTAGGCATTGCCATCTGCTGTACTGTGATCAAGTGTGCTTTTATTCCATGCCCCCAGGCACAAAAAGAGTGGGGAGGGTACATGTAGGCACCAACTACTCTCTTGTAGAAGGTGTGTAAGGGATCCTCTCATGATCTTTCCTATCATGCTGGCTTTACCTGAAAGTAGGCATGAATCCAGGAAATAGACAGATATTTCAATGGATATTTATAATAGATAACAGATATTTCAAATAGCCTTTGAAATAGATGATGTACAGTATTTGTTTGATATTGTATATAGCACTTCCTCTGACTGCGTATCTGGCAATGGGGTTTTATATGGGAGAACCAGCACTTGATCTGTGCTCAGAAAAGATCTGGAAGCTAGTCGCTTTGGGATCATCGTGATCTAGTTTATAGAACATGCACCTTGCAAAATGCTAATCGGCACAAGTTGTGTTTGCATTGCACTTTACGCAGTGGTTGACACAAAGATGCTAATCCTAGAGCTGGAAGGCACCTTAGAGGCGATTTTCTCCACCTTGCCGCTCCAACTTGCCTCTGACAGATTACCTTCCAGCCCCTGTTTAAAAACTTTAAGAAAATGAATACTCATTATTTCATGTGGCAGCCTGTTCCACGGCCTGATGGATTGTAATGCTAGGAAGTTCCTGCTGATGTCCTCCTCTTTCTTATAATTTTAATCCACTTGTTATGGTCCTGCCCCCTAAGGCAACAGAGAATAAGTTTGCATCCTCTTCTGTACGATAATCCATATTGTCATACAGCAAACTCACGTTTACTCAACCATAATCTACTCAGCCCAAATTGCTTGAGTTCTAGAACACAATCACAAAGTAAACATACTGTCTGGATTTGCACAAAACTGAGTCCTAAATTGTCTGCTCTGACTGGGCTGAGATCTTTCCGTATCACCTGCTACCCAATCCTTCCTCTTCATGAGGGATGCAGTCCGCATCTGAATGATGTTCCTCCAAATCATTTCACATTGGGCACGCTTGATAGAGTCCCATCAAGTCACACAAGTAAGCTGTCACACTATGAAGGGGGAAAAAAATCCAACTTAGGCAATGGAGTTGGTTCGCACATGGTGTTAGAGGCTGCAGGACTTGAAGATATATACAATTATGCAAAGGGTCCATGGAACACAGAAATTGGACAAAAAAGACGGTTTATCTTTCTCTCATAGTCCTAGAATTTCTAGACATCCCATGAAAGAGACATGAATGATTTAGATAATATGGTGTCCCAAAATGGTCACAGTCTCAGATGGCTTTCAAAGGGGACAAAACAAAATTCATGGAAGTCCACTCTATCTATGGCTGCTAACATGACTGCTGTTTATGCATCCTTCAGATCAGAGAAAAAACCAGATGTTTCTGTCGTTCATCTCCAACAGCTATTATTCAGAGACAATACATCTCTGAATAATAGTTCTTGGATATGAACTACAGAAACATCTGGTTGGCCCCTTTGATACCAGATAGACCACATATCTGATCCAGGAAGGCTCTTGTATCCTTGGAATATCCACAAGGTATAGACCCAAAAGTCAAGATGGCAGCTATGACAGTGTGATCAAAAGCTCTGCCTACTTTTTGTGTACAATATGCTTCAATCACATCATTGCAGTCGCCATCTTGACATTTTGTACCATACCTTATGGACACCCCTGTCGGAATGTGTCTGATAATGCCCCAGACTAACCTAGAAGTATCTGTGTGTGATCTCTTCGTTCCTCAGAGGCAGCCTATTCGCCAACCTCTGCAACTACCTTCCAAAGAATGCCGATGGAATGGTTTTGGGGTTTAGCCACGTAGCTCATACAACGTGATAATCAAATAATCAATTTCACAGGAGGCCGCGTTGCTAATGGCTGCAGACATTTGCTTACTATTTATAGTGAAATAATGTCAGTTAATTAGCAGAGCAAGAATACTGCCATGACTAAGAGACTGAGGGTTGAACCGTAAATCTTCTAGTTCACTGCACGCCTTCTCCACAGGTCCACTAGATAGCTTTAAGCAAGCTGCAGCCTCTCTGCCTCAACCCTCTTCCTTTCATCCCCTGATCACATCTGCAAAGTGTAAATAGCCAGACTGACTTATTTTGCAGGATTACATATAAGGATTCCTGATATAGCACGTTGCAAGCACTAAACCAGTATGGACTGCCCAGACCCTGCTGGTCTTCTGGAAGGCCATGAAGACTTGACTGTTCCCCCAGGCAGTGGGTGCAGGATGTTTACGGAGCTCTGTTGTGGGTATGGATGTGTTTGTTAGCTATTACTGAGGGTTGTTTTAGGGGCCATCCTCAACCTGGATCTTTTTAATGGATTGTGAAATGGGCTCTGTTTTTATCATGTTTGCCACCCAGAATGTCTTTGGGAGATGGGCAACCATATAAATATGCCAAATATATAAAATAAATGTAAGCACTACCACAAGTGGGAATGGGGAGGGGGGAAAGAGAGCTATAGTGTACATTCACCTTCTAGTTACCTTTGTGTAATGTTCTGAGCAGCCATATTTCTCTTTGTAATATTCTAATTTCTTTTCTTTTCCTTTTCCAAATGCACTCAGTATTCCACAGCTGATGTGCAAGCACAGAATCCCTAGATTGTTTCACTTCTTAAGGGGGAGATCTCTCTTAAGTTTTGTTTGTTTGGTTGGTGCCTCTGGAAATCTCAGATATCCTCCTAAGACTAATGCTGATTCCTTCTCTGTTCCCACTGGATCCATTCTGACTCCAGTTCTGTTGGCACCTGGCCCCAGAATTTAATACATATGAGCAATGATTACAATCATCTTAACTGGGCATGTGCAAAGCAGAGGTGCTTTGCTTTGCACCACCAAAACAGTGCACTCTGCCTTGAGGAAAGAGCAAGAGCACTATGCTCTTCAATCAGAGCATAGACTAGGATGACCAACCTTCTTCTCTCCTCACCTCTAGAAAAGTGAATCAGCACGGCCACTTTGTGGCTTAAAAGCTTCTCTTCGTTAAGGTGCTTCATAGGAGTGCTTCCAACAAATCTTTCCCAAAGCTAAAGGCCTCCTCTGAAGCTTTGCACACCATAATAATAACTGATAAAGTGTCAGAAATGTTCAAAAATGCTCCCAGAGAATAAACAGGCCAGACTGTCTCTGCCACAGGCTTTCTCTCTAATTGTCATGATGTACAGAGGAAGAAGCAAAATGAGTGAAACAAGCTTATTAAAGCAACAAACTACAGCATTAATCCGTCCGGGGGGGGGGGGGGGGGTGGATTTCTTTAAAGAAGTACTGTATGTAGCTCATATTTTAACTGTAGAGCTACTCAGCCACTCTTTAACTAAACAATGCTGGACAGCTCCCTTTTTTTTTTTTTTTTTGGAAGCAAGAGGAACCTGTTTTTCTACTTTCTCCACTCCTATAGAAATCATTTCCTCTTAATATATAGTAACCTTGCAAGTTATTGCTACTTAAGTAAGGCGTCATTGTTAAATATCACTTAAAAATCTGAACTGTATCTTAAAAAAAAAACTTTAACAAAAAACACCAAAACCAACCTCTCATTTACAATTAAAATATTTGTTGTAAGTGTCAGAGGAACAGAGGGCACCCAGGATATAGTATGTCTTCCTCAAGGATGAGTTACTATAGGAAAGGAGGCAGGGGAGATGAAAAGGGCCATAAACAGACAGTGTGGCAGAAATGCTACCTTCAACAACAGAAAAGCTGGGTTATGCTTTGAAGAAGGATGACACTTTTAAAAACAATGAAAGGCAAGCTTTCCAAAACTTCAAACCTTTTCTTTTTCCAACTTCGCCCACGCCTTCCTTTTCAAACTACTTGACAGTTCATAGAAGCTGTGCTAACAACATCACATATTCCATCAAAGCCCCCACAGCCTAAAAACGCCTTTGGCTAATATAATGTTTTAATTAGTGTTGCCAGAGGAAGATCGGGAAAGAGGTGGCGGGTGGAAAAGACGAAGCATTTTGTTTATGGCTGGAATAAAAATAAAGTCTGAAAGCATGGGATGCTCTGCATCATTTTAGGAAGATTCTGGGTTAAAAAAAGTACCTCAGCATGGGCAGAAAATATGGAGGGGGGTGGGAAATAATCTGCCCGTTTTTAAATGTTATTTTCCCAGGGGAGCTTACAGCAAAGTAAAATTGTACAACATTACAAAATAATTTAAATATGCAATTAAAACCTACAGCATTAAAATAATGAAAGCAGCTGCTGGAATGAAATGTTTCTAAACAGCAACTGCTATCAATCAAGGCATGGATTACGATGTCTGGGAGAATAAAAACATCTTGCCTACCACTGAAAAGACAACAAATTTGGCACCAGAGGGACCCCCCTGGGGACAGGAATTCCAGAAATGGTGAGCTACCTCCAACAAGGCCTGCTTCTGCCTTATGCTAACAGGGCACAAAGCCTTGGAACAGTCTTCC